CTATACTCAAAACATGTAGAAAGATACAGTTGCAGAACAGAATGTTAACCATATATATGACCTTCACAAACTTTCACTGGCAGAACACTTGTATGTCCAGCCTCTGGGTTCCTAACAAGGTGTGTATCCCGTTCATGCTCTCTGTTGCCAAAGCAAAGAATTTTGAAATTGGTCTCTAGCAGTGATAAAAAGAACAGAAGATGGTCCTATTCGCCTATGCTTCTTTCTGTGTGTGTTTTTCTACACGTTCCTCTTTTGTCCGTGCCTTTAGGGTTTTTACCCTCTTTTTCTTTCCTTTTCTATTTCTGCTTCTATTTTTTTTCCTATTTCTTAACCTTTCTTTCTCCTTCAACAGACCACTTTTTCACATTATTTCTTTGTATTGTATATATTTATGAAATGGAACATTTCTGCATATGATATAGAATGCGGATTGTTTTGTATGACTTTCTCTAAGAAAATAATGTGCTGTCCTGTGCTGAAACAGCTGTATGCTCTCGTGATCCTCCACTATTTACTTCCTAAGCATCCGATACAGTTGAGACATGTGGGAGAGATTTTCTTAAATGGGCATTGCTACCTCACTGTCATTAGAAAAACCATTATTGTGCTAATACCGTGATTCTTTTTTCTTCTTCTTCTTCTGTTACAGGGAATTTTGATTATGTTGATGGCCTTCAGCATTATTGAATTATTCATCTCTCTGTCCTTCTCAGTTATGAGGAGACCCTTTTAATGTTGTGACTAATGGTGCTGAATATCACCATGGGAATAAAGAGGTGTTATAATATCACCAAGAAGTGAATTATGTTTGTGAGAAAAAGCCAGAAGGAACATAGAATCTTAAGACTGGCAACTGTTGGAAGCAAAGGGGAGTGACTTAAGAGAGTGGGGTCTGGGAACACTTTTGGCTGATAAAACACATCCTGCCTCTTTGCAATGCCATCTCTTCCTCTCCCCAAATCACATCGTCATCTTGGTGCCACCTCCTCTGTTAGTCATGCATGCACTGAACCGAAGGACAGCAATGTAGCATTGCCACTGTACAAACAGAGAAATGAACCAAAGCCCACAATGTGAAGTGACCAGGTCTATGACATCTCCTGCTGATTTCTCTAAGAGACTCAACCTCGTGGCTCCATGGTTGTGTGGAAAAATGAGTTGGTTGGAAGAATGGCTTGGCCCACAGATTTTGCATTGATACAGCAAGATCATCAATGTGAGCCACTCATGACAACTAGAATAGTAACAAGGAGGACATATGTTGGTTGAAAGCCACTATAACGTTCCAGGAACCATGCTAAGTGTTTTTTGTGTATTACTCATTTAACCTCACAAAAAGTCTAAGAGGTACTAAGCATATCCATCAGCTCCAAAATTTTCTTGTGCCCTTGTTTTGTTTCTTTGTTTTTTGATGAGAACACATAACATGAGATCTATCTTCTTAACATATTTTAGTGTACAATCTGTATTAGTAACTAAGTACTCTGTTGTACAGTAGATCTCTAGAACTTACTCATTTTGCATAACAAAAACTTTATACCCATTGAAAAACAAAGGCCAATTTAACTTTACTGCACATTCAAATCACCAGAGGAACTTCAATAACCCACGCTGCCCCCCCGCCCCCAAATGCACCAGATACCACCCAACAGCAATTAAATCAGAATGTGGTGAGAGCCTGGCATCAATAGTTTTTAAAGATCTCTAGGTGATTCCAATGCAGAGCTTCTCTCGAGCTTAATGGAAGGCAATTGGATTCTGGTAACTGCTTTTGCATTCAGTCTGATGTGATATCTCATGTTCTGTAGCCTGTGGAGATGATAGACGTAAACTTGTGGAAAGGGAAACTAAAGTCTTGGTATTATTATGAGAGCTGTCTTGAGATCACAGACCTCCTGAGAGAGCCTCAAGAACTCCGGAAGATTCCCAGGCCTCACAGGGAGACGGCTGCCTTACATTGTATTTCCTTCCGCTGACTGAACACCTGCTAAGTATTAGGGATCTTCCTTCTGTCATCCCAGCTGTCATGACAGCCCTCTGAGGTAGGTACATCTAGTCTGTGTCCACAGACATGAAAACTGAAGCTCAAAGTGGTTGATTTTTCTGAGACCACCAAAGGGAGTAAGATTTAGAACCAGGATTTGAGTCAAGATGCCCAACTCCAAATCTCGGCATCCTTTGCTTCTTTTGGCATAGAAAACATTTAGCATATGCAAAGAGATAAACTATCAGATTTTCATTTCTGCCATAAGCTGGAAGGAGAAAGGCCTATGGGTACATATGTGAGGGCAGGAGGCAGGGGAGTGAGATTCTAATGAAAAATATTTATTTAAAAAATTTATTTCCAGTGGAATCATGTTCTGATGAAAAATATCTGGTGCCTGAGTGAGGCTGAGATGTGTGGGTATGTGAGATAATTAAGGGTGAGAATCCCCATCACCTAACAGTAAGGGCTTTTAAGTCAGACCTAGGTCTAAATGTCAGTTTTACAATTTAAAGCTTAGTGACTTGAACAAGTTATTTAACCTTTGCGAGCTTTAAACTCCTAGACTAAAATGCAATAATATTACCTACCTAATGGGTTTACCATGAGCCTTAAATGAAATGTGAACTAATTTAATCAGTGCCTTGAACTTAAAAATCACATGGTAAATGGTAGGTTTTCTTTTAAATTTATAATTGAGGTTTTTTGTTTTTTTTTTTTTGCTTTCCAAGCATCACTTTTTATCACATATGTGGCTTTGGGCCAGTTTCCCTCATTTCCTGATTGTTAGTCCCCACAATTATAAAATGGAATCAATACTATAGGTGTTATATGGACAGTGCTTGGCATATAAGTAGGTGCTCAAATCATTTTATTTGCCTGTTAAAAATATAAAATAGTCCCTCAGGACAGAAGGAAGGCCTCGTAAACTACAAAGCTCTCCTGATGCTGGGTAGCACTGTGATAATCATCTGGATGGGAGAACTAAAGCAGAATCACAATCCCTCACAGCAATCAGAAAATCCAGCCCCACTTTAAAGGGACATATAGACAAGTGGCTGAGTGAGGTAAGGACACAAGTAACTGTGATGTAGAATGTAGTTTCCACAGGAGAGGCAAAATGTTCCAAGGACCAAAAAAAAAAAAAAAAAAAAAAAAATGGAGTTTGGAGGTAGAGTTCGGAATAAAAGGAAGGCAAATATGAACTAAATTAAAGTTTAGTTAAAATTTTGTGTAGACTTTAAGAAAGAGATCATCGTCTGGAAGCAAGAGGGCCACTAGGTATTGACAAGAGGGGGAGAGATTTTAAATGTGGAAATGTTTGACCTAATATCCTCAAACATTACAGAGAAAAAAAAATTATGAAACACAGGAAGTGCTACTGACAAATCCAGACTGTAGTTGGGATTTCAACACACTCAGCACTGCAGTCAATCAATCCAAACCAGCAAAGACAAAATGAAAGTTTGTTTGTTTATATAAATTCAAATTCAAGTTTATTCAGGAGGACTCACCCAAGAGCTGCCTAACTGATCTCACTGGCCACACACACACAAAAACAGAGTAACAAACATTTTAAGACAGACTTGGAAAAACAGGGCCTACATAGAGAAAAGGATATGAAAATTCAGGTTGTGTGAGAAAAGGATATGAAAACTCTGTCCAAGCCTCACTGATGCCAGGCATTTATTAAATTCCCACGCCAACTAACATGATGGCACATTCCAGTGACCACCCATCATCCTGGACTCCAACCTCTGGCCTCACAATCACCCACAGCTCAGATCTCCTGTAATTGTCATCCCTGTCACCAACATTCAAGCACTCCAGCAGATCATCAGACCTACAACCAGATGCTTAAATAGCCAGCAGATCTTCTGTTTCTGCTCCTGTTCCCTCTATAAGATTTATGAGAGGTGACTGTATGCCTTTTACTTGTGTATACTTGATGACAGCAAGTTCTCTATTCAAATGGTAGCCTGTTCCACTAATGAACTCTTTCAATGTTGGGAAGGTGGCATTTGTTTTGATGTTACCCCAAAATCAGGCACTCCAGAACTACTCCTACCCATCGGCTCTAACCCTCTGATCCAAACTGTCATCATAGAGAGAGGCAGAGGGAGAAACAGAGAACAGAGGAAGGAGGTGGGGAGACAGAGAGGGATAGAGGCAGAGATGGAGGGAAGACGGGAATTAACCTCAAATTTGTCAGGAGAGCTGCCATATTTTTAGATTAGGCAAACAACTACCTAATTACAGCCCTGGGTGTCTCATAAAATAAAGCAAGGGACAAGGAAATTAAAAGCAATGAGAAATCCAACATATGAACAAAAAAGTTGGGGGCAGGGGAAACAATATCTTTGGGCAAAACTTCCTCTGATTTTTTTCCCAAATATTTACACTTTCCTGGCTACCGGCTTCCTCCATTCTCTCACTTGATCTAGCAGTGGCATAGCTCCAGGCCAGACTGAAAAGAGAGGGGACACAAGGGAATGAGACAGATGGAAGAAAAAGAGGGGGTTTGTAGGTAAAAGGGCTACTTCCGTTTGTATCCCAAAACATGCAACTCTTGCCTCAAGCTTCTGAGGATGTGTTCTACAGCACCAACGTATACTTTTGGGCCATTTCTAGTAAATCCCACACAAGACATACATGGTCCCACTAGAACCCTAAGTGTGGGTAAATGTGGACAATATTTGGAGAGGGATACCTACAACCCTCCCAAACGACCGGGCTTAATGATTCCTGAATCTCTCCACTTGGATACCTTCTTTCTACCTACTCACTCCTAAAAGTGAAGCAAAAAGGTAAAAGTCCTAACAGCCCATCTTTAGAGAATTTCTAGAGCCCTTCTTGCCCTTGGGGATCCACCATCCACACCTGCTTACAGGGTGGGGGCTGCAAATTTCTTCTAATTAGGGTAGCGTAAAGTACGCCAGGCAGTCCCCTGGGGTCCTTTTCAAGAAGTGAAACCTCCTGGTAAGGCAGAAACTTTTTTGTATATCCTTTGGCTCTGGTAAGTGTGCATTAAACCAAAGTGATTGGGGCAAAGGCCAAGGTAGCAGAAGCCACTGATTTCCTGTCACCTGGTATCTATGAGAGGCCCCAGACCTGCCTTATGTCACTCACCCCTGTGTATGTGAGACACCAGCAGTGGAAGTGAACTCAGCAGGAAGCATCCGAATCAGCCACGCGCCCGAAGGCCTCGGACACTCAGGTAAGGAGCCAGTTCGCTTTGTTTAAGTGACTAAAACAGAGTGACGGGTAAAGCGTTGGATGGTTTTGGAGACTAGATTCTTGGCTTTCCCTCAAGGGTTTCCCTGGTCAGGTCTTCTGGTATTGTCACAATGTGAGGAGGGGTACCCGGGCTTGCTGCCCACCCACTCCCTTAACCACTCCCTCTCTCAAGAGAGAGCCTGGCCAATGAACTAGGAGCCATTCTACAAAAGCAGCAGTTTGCAGCATGTAGACAAGAGAATTGTTACCAAGCTCCTGGGCTCAAACCGGAGCTCCACCACCTACAGATCTACAGGCAAGTTACCAAACCTCTACATTCCTCGGTTTGCTCACCTCTAAGATGGGTACCAATGTATTACCCCCTGCCTTATATAAGATTAAACGAGCTAAAATCCTAAAGGTCTTAGAACCACCTGGTTCTACAGAAGAAAATAATCAGCCATGGCTATCATGAAAATATTTCGACTTCTCTTGTTCTGAATGTTTTTTTCTCCAAAGATATCCTGCTAGAGGTGAATACCCCGTGGTGTTGTTAAACATCACAGGCTAACATTTTCTGGAGGGGACTCGGGGGACATCAAACTGAGCACAAAATTCCTGCCTCAAATCTATCACAGAAGTCTACAGTGAGAGTGCGTACTGTAGACGAGGAAGATTTAAGGAAGGGCCACAAAGATGAGGTTTAGCCACATCATAATTGCTTCCTAAAACCAATATATAATGTGATTACCCTTCCCATTTCCCACAAAATGGCTGGATCTCACTGATCATCAAGCGAGGTGAAACGATCACCTTTTGGTCCAACATCCTGAGCATTTATGTGTAAATCTTCCCTGAGGAAAAAGCTCAGTTTAACATTTATTGAGCTCATAGTACCAGAGAAAACAGGTTCTCTATGTAACCCTAGCAGGACATCCCTTAAGAAATGTACACCCTAATCATTAGAAAAGTTACAGTATTAGCTCATGAGAAAGAAAACAGTTGGTGACAAGGAAGGAATGCAGAGAGCTGGGGGCTTTGAAGAAGCCATGCGAGAGTCTCAGGTGATGTGAGTGTCTAATGGGGATTCTGGCCCTGAAGGAGGCAGGAGGGGAGCATTTCAGTGTGGACAGGGTTCCAAGAAGAAAGCAGGAGATGCGTCCAGATCAGTGGCTCCAGTGGGGAGCAGTAGGGTGCAGCTTCAGAAGGGCTGTAGACCTGCACCTTGAAGGCCGTGGGGGGTCCAGGTACAGGTTTCTCCCAGAGGCAATAACAGCCCAGACAGAGTTCAAGCTCAGGATGCGCAGGCCTTCAAGTGGTGATTTGGCGCCTGATCTAGTGGCTCTACAGAGGATGGATTAGACAAGAGAAAGACTGAAGGCAGAAGAGTAGGACTTTTGTGCTAACCCAGGAGGGGAAATGAGAATCAAATTCATGGGGTGACACTGGGAGTAGAAAATGGTCCACACACCAAGACCCCTTACAGAGGAAGAGGCGGCACGACTGACCGAACATGGAGATGAAGGAGCTGGAGAGAAACATGGCTCCCGCTCTTTAAGCCTGGGGGACAGAGGAACAGAAATAAAGCAATCTGAGTGGTCCTGCCCGAGGAAAGACCACAGACTCTGCAGCACAGTCCTCGGACACAGCAGCCTCAGCTGAGTGGCTCTGGCAGCATCCGGCAGGCAGCGAAGCTCAGGGAGCGAGTGGGTGGTGAGGAGGTGGAGGCGACAAGCTTGGAAGAAGCTGGCACTAAGAGAGGGGGGACACTAGACAGCGGCTGGGGACACTGCCAGATTGAAGGAAGGGGGCTGGGAATGGGGACACTGCAGCACATTTTAATCACCAAAAGGCCCAGTAGTAACCGTTCTTATTCGAGTGTTTAGTACATTATAAATTGCAAATCACCTCGCGTTCCCAAACAGCACTCTGAATAGTGAGGCAAGAGAAGTGGCAAGCAGCAGAGCCGGGACTAGCATTTTCCGTGGCACAGCACCACAAATAAAGACTGAAGGTGCAAGAACCACTTTCTCTGAAGGACTGACGTCCTGGCAGATGGGAATGGCTGAGGAGCACAGGCAGAGGGAAAGGAAGTCAGAACATCCTTCCTCAGAGATAATACGCACCGGAGGCCAGAAAGGATAAAAATGCAGAACTATTTTGAGTGGCAAAGGAGGAAGTTGAGGTAACAAAACCTAGGCAGCTTTGACCTTCTCATTATATGATGTAATTACTGGACCTAAAAGTCATTATTTGAACCAAAACCCATAAAGGCTGTGAGATTTTCCGCAGCGGATGCACACAGAAACAGTGGTGCCTTTTAAAAACCAAAAAAAGATTTGCAGAAGTCACTGTAATGAAATATGGGGCAGTGTCTGATCGACTGAGCCCTGATGGTAATATAGTTTAGTGAAAACAAAATCCTACTGTGATCACATTCTGACCAATGTGCCCAGTAACCCTTGCTAATGGACCAACTAGGCTTTGAGCACAACTGTGTGTTGGGCACTTTAAGTCATTGTGAAAAATTAAAAAACAATGATAGGGCAAAGCTGCAGGAATCTATGATATCCTTAGGAGTATGTGCTCTAATTTTATATATTCCCATACAACAAAAATTTGAGTACTAGTCTATAATGCTCTGGCATAAAAATATGTATATATTTTAGAGAGATTATTTCCATAAAAAATGAAGTAGCATATCGAAACGGGTATGTTTATGTTTATAAACTACTATTTTACATAATACGTGTTGAAGGCTTCATAGAAATAGAGTTGCCATAGTGAGACATCAATTTTAATAGTGAAATAAAATATTTCTCCCCAACGGTCATTACTGCCACTAGCCATTGCAGACATGGCCCCAGTAGAACTTGGCTTATACGGAGGTTTATCTCACCAATAATACAGACACAGCCTCAGGCAGTTGAAAAATAAGGAGAAATTAAAACAACAGTAGTCCAGTTGTCTTCGTCTGTCCAGAGAACTGATGACCCTTTGCTCTTTAAGTTGTCCTCACTAAAAAGAGCCCTCTGGAGAGGAATGTGGGGACTCCAGCTCATTCCCTTCTTACCAATGGGAAAACCAACCTCTCTGGGCTTGCACTTCCACATCTGCAAAAAAGACAAAATGACTACTTAGTAAGGCAGGCGGTTTGGCACTATATGCATGACATCCCAGGCATGCAGAGGGTGCTCAGTAAACAACTGAACTACGTGGTCTGGCCGCGAGGCAGCAGAAAGAGCGCCAGCCTCAGAGCCACAGTGACTGCCTTCTGGTTTGTCACCGATTGCAAGATCTGTAACGAGCCACAGCCCATCCCTGGGCTGCAGCTTCCTCATTTGTCAAATGAACAGAATGGTTTCTCAGGTTTTAACCAGTTCCAAAAATTCTGCCTGGTGATAAGAATCAGTCTGTAAACTCCTTCATGGGCTATATTAATACATTCCTTTTCATCAGTGATCTTGTTGGTTGGTTTGTGGTGCAAAACACCAAAACCTCCAAGACCACATGACACCTGGTGATTGAGAGGTGAAGCAAAATCAAGTGCAAAATACCCAGTTGAAGTCTCCTCTCTTCCCTTCAGCCCGTGGTCCTGAAAAATATTCTGATTTCAATTGCTTTCTAGTCACCCAAATAGCACATCCATCTGAAGAGGGGAGAGGTTCATAAGTGAAAGGCTGAACCCCTGTTCTGCACAGGGGCCAAAGTAGCCACAGATACCTTGTTAGGTAAGTCCAAGCCCTCATTTTCAATCTCTAGTAGCCATGTAACTGGAACAAGTGACCTAACAATTTCATGCCCCTATCACCTTTTCCACACAATAGAACCAACAATTCATCCCTTGTCCACTCCGTGAGGCTTAAATGAACTTCAGATGTGAAATCTCTTTGTCACTATAAAGTGGGTGCAAACACGAGACCTGGGAGACTCCCAAGCACCTGTCCCACAGCACACCTACAGGCACCCAGCTCAGTGTGACTTCAACAGGATAAGCAAGCTGGGCAGACAGTCTTGGTCTCCAAGGCCCCTTACATGACTTACAGTTGACAAAGATGAGACCAAACATGTGTCCCTAAAGAGAGATTTCCAGGGCCCAGGAAAGATCCAATGGAATTCGTGTAAGTAATTGACATAAACAAATAAATGCCAAAAGGAAGCACAGATGAAGACAGTTGAACAGTCTTACAACATGAGAACTGGGAAGGGTCTTGGTAATAATCACTAACTTCAGAAATGAATAAATCATGAAATCTAAGAACAGACAGCACTTCCTACTTTCTCCCCATGTATGAGGCACTTTCATATGCGAACTTACTTATTTCTCACAATGTATCTGTGACAGGGGTACTGGTCTCATTTTTCCAATGGGAAAAACAGGAACTAATGCTCCTAAAGGTAATAATACTAAGAACTAGAACAGCAACAAAAACAAGTAATAATTATCCAGACACGAGTGCTTTACATACATTTATTTCCTCAGCAATGTTAAGAAACTACTCAATCCACATAATTTAGATACTGAACAAGAGGGTCAAAGTCTCTGCTTTGATAGAATTTATATTCTAGTGGGGAGAGACTGCTAATAAACAAGCAAGCAAATAATCAAGGTAATTCCCCATAGTGGTAAGTGCCATGATGCAAAGAACTGGGGTGCTGTGAATGAGGATCACTGTGGACTAAGGATTCGGGCAAGGCTTTTTCTGAGGAGCTGACATTTGAGCTACACCCGAATGAAAAGACACCAGCCACGCACAGACCATGAGTCCATTGAAGTCTTACAGAAACCCTATACTGTAAGACAAGAACGATAATTCCCATTTTGCAGTTGAAAAACTTGAGGCCCAGAGAATTTAAAGAACTTGCCTGTAGTTTCACAGCAACAGAATAATCACAATTTGAACCCAGGCAACCTGTCTCAGGAGGCCATGGTCTTACAAACAACCGTAGAGAGCCTCCTCAGAGTGATTTATTCGAGGTTACAGAGTTGGTGGTAGAGGAGACTGGAATCAGCTCCTACTGACTCTAACAGGCCTCACCATGCTCCTTCATGATGCCTCTGGCCCATCACAACGGACAAAAGCAGATAAGCAAAAGGCTAAGGATAAGGCAATGACAAAATACATTCTCCAATATGAGAGTATAAGAAAAGCATCCAGGAAGGAGAGACACACAGGACACGCAGACAAACACGGATTTCTCTAGAGAGACACACGGGACACGCAGACAGACAAACACGGATTTCTCTACCATGATGAAGCGTGCCCCAAACATTGTCGTCAAGAATCCCGGCAGGGAAGTCAGTTCACTTTTGTGCTACGTGTCGCCGGTGTCTGAGCAGTTGGCTGGCAGGCATCATGGATCAGGTAATGCAGTTTGTTGAGCCAGGTCGGCAGTTTGTGAAGGACTCACTCCGGGTGGTTAAAAGATGCACTAAACCTGACAGAAAAGAATTCCAGAAGATTGCCATGGCAACAGCAATAGGATTTGCTATAACGGGATTCATTGGCTTTTTTGTGAAATTAATCCTTATCCCTATTAATATCATCATTGTTGGCGGTTGAATACCTTTTTAGAAGAATTTTTCATCTTGGGAATTAGTGAATAAGTGAGGATTTGAGAAGCTCATGGAGTAAAAATTTGCCTATATGTTTTGTGTTTTTCTTTCATTTTTTTGTCTTCCACGGTGTTTTGTATTTGTAAATTAAAACAATTTCAAAATTAAAAAAAAGAATCCTGGCAGGGATAGATGCCCCCTTCAGATCCTGTCTTCAAACACAGCAGTAGGCTTTGCCTCAGACCCAAAGCCACTGGGAAGAGGCCATGTCTATGTACCCTAAACAACACTCATGGAAGGAATACGGAGAAAAGTATTCAGATGCACGAGACAAGATAAAAGACTGCTGAAAATCCCATTCTCTCTCTCTCTCTCTCTCTCTCTCTCTCTGCCCATTTTATTATTTGTTTTATTTTTAGGAGTTCTGAGCGTGAAATGACGACACCCAGAAATTCAAGGAGTGGAACTTTCCAAGCAGATCCTATGAAAGGTCCTACTGCCATGCATCCTGTTCAAAAAATAATTCCCAAAAGGATGCCTTCAGTGGTGGGCCCTACACAAAACTTCTTCATGAGAGAATCTAAGACATTAGGGGTAAGTCAGCTGCACTCCATTCTGTATCCTAGAGACTCTCTGGCCTACAGAAGCAGATGCTGTAGGCTAGGTACAGACTGCAATCCAACTAGAAGGTATTTGACCCAACCCGAGATGTTCTTTACATCTGACACAATGTGCCAAATCAGGGATGTGCAGAGAAATTACCACAGTGATCTTTCTCCTTTTGATTTTGTGGTTTGCGTATTTAGGGGTCTCCCATCCAAGTTTGTCACCAGCATCCCAGACATATCTGCCTTGGAAATGCCCCAGGTGGTGGGGAAAACGGATCCGAACAAGACAAAGGTCTTGGCACCTCTGCCACTTCCTTTAGGCATTTTACGCAACCCCAAGTCAGGAGCTTCTAGCCTTACCTTTGTTTTCTGACTTGATGATGACTTCAGTTCCTCATCAGTGCCCCCATTCTCTCTCCAGGCCGTCCAGATTATGAATGGGCTCTTCCACACTGCCCTAGGCGGCCTCCTGATGATTCACACGGATATCTATGCACCTATATGTATAACTGTGTGGTACCCTCTCTGGGGAGGCATTATGGTGAGTAAAAGCTAACAACCATTTGGGAAGTGATGCAGACAAAAAGGCTGAGGAAAGTATATGGCTGGGAAATAGGTTATGAGGTTAAAATAATTTACTGGAAAGAGAAGTTGACTAAATTGAGCATGAATCCCATTGAAAGTCAGTGGTCATGCTTCACGTGAATTCAGAGGGAAGATTGTCCAATGTGGGACCTCTCCAAAGTCAATGTGGAGAGGAGGGAGAAGGGCACTAAACATTTGGACCGTACAGCATGGTGTTTCAGAAAGCAGGAAGTCAGAGGAGCATCCCATTTCCTCCCACCTGGTCCTTTCTCCTAGAGTTCTGTGTAGCTGTGTCGCAGGTGGTAAAAATCAGTCCCATCCCAAATGACTCTCCTCTGGCTTATCAGCAGAGCAGCAATCCTTATGGCTCTTTCATGTACATGTTTTCCAAGCTTGTAACCTTGTCTGGGTGTGGTATGGGGTAGCCATGTTTATACCATCATGATACTTCCATAGTTGCCACTATAAAGATGTGTCCAGGATTGAAATTTTCAGAACAAAGGGAGATGGATTAAAACAAGAGTTTCCTCCATTTTATGGCCTGAACAGTAGACAAGGAAGATAAGAAATAATCGCCATCACTTCCTGCAGTGGCCAATGTTTTAGTGGAGCGCCTACGGTCTTCAGGCCACGTATTTCCTTCCACACTGATTCACTCTTCATTGGCATCAGTCCTTTAGACCACCATGAACTCCAAAGAGAAATTCCACGAATTTAAAAAAGAAAAACTAAAAATAAAACTTTCAAATTCACAGTTGTTAGTATTCATTGACCTGAAAACATGAGTTCTGCCTCTGGTCTTACTATATTCCTAGTCACAGCTCCCCAGTTAGTTGAATAAAAGGCATAGACTGAATATAGCTGAGCATGAATAAAGGAGAAATGTGACTGCTGAAGAATGAATACTGTAAAAATGGCTGGACAGTTTTGTGAAAGTGGCTGGAAATGTGGATAGCTTTTTTACAACCAGTTCTCAATGTGAAAAGTGACCTCTCTCCCTCTCTGCCTCTCTTATCCCATGTCCCCCACACCTTCCCCACCCACCACCTCTTTTTTCACAGTATATCATTTCTGGATCACTCCTGGCAACAGCAGACAAAAACCCCAGGAAGAGTTTGGCAAGTAATCGTATGTCCTTCTTTCCCCACAATAGAGAAATATCTACTTTCTCAGTTGAAAACAAAAAGACCTATGGGATCACAGTAGCACTGAGTTATCTCTCAATCCCCAAAAGCAAAAGATTCTCTAGAGAGCTGCTGTGATGTTATTCATAATAAACTTGGAAATGAGACCTACCTGAATTATGTCCATGGAAACAGAATTATAGGCTGACCCATGAACAGCAACATGCTATGGTCTAATGAACGTTAAATGTGTGAGAGTAACAGATCTCTTTGAGAACTGTGTCATTTCTCTTAAACCACCATTTAGGAAAACTCTAATCAATACTGTGATTCACTTAATCCTCGTTAACTTTGAGCAAGTCAGTTTACCTCTATGTACCTCTATAAAATGGTGCTACCATATTGTCATGAGGATGAATGGCCTAATATACATGAAAGTGCTTCAGAGGCTTCAAGAAGCTACAAAGGGACTTACTCTATAACACATTTACACCCTACAACACATTTACACCCAGGGTCATGAGCTTACCAGCAAGTTCCTCCCCCAAGTTTTTTATACTTACTAACAAGTTATTACTAATTTGTGTCACTTCCAAAGTCAGTGAGGGATTGAATGAATGGAAATGGCTCTTCTCTAGAGTGGTCTGACAAACTCAGTTTTTTTGGGGGGAACAAGTTGTTTTATTCTCCAGATATAGCCAGTCCTACTGACTTGCCATCTGTAGGTCTTATTGCCAGGGATGAGCTATGTATGTCTTAAAATAATCATCAATAATCCTATACTATTAGGTACTTGTCATATATATTTTCCTGTTTTGACCTTTTATCATTCCTGCAAGTAGAACACTCCCTCTGACACCCTTTACCTACGCTACCTAGAGACATCAGCCCTAATGACATTTTGAAAGATGGCAGGCTGAGGCTGACTGCAACCTGTGTCAACAGGGAGTAGGTGGTGGTGTTCTTGCCACTGTTTGTTTCCACTTGTTGGTATAGACCCAGAGGGTTCTATCTGCTCCTTCCCTCCCTAAACCCACAGAACCATCTCACCTCATTGTGATAGAAGAAACTCCTTCCCCCCTGTTCCCTCTACCTTCCTATGCAGACATAATCTGAATACTATTTATGGTCACTTATTCAACCAATATTTACTGAATGCCTACCAGGGTGAGGGCAGTGGCAGTGAAAGCAAGTACAGGGGTACAAAATAGAAGAATTTAGGATGACTCTTAGAATTTTCTCTTGATAAACTGGATATGAAGGGTTAAAATGAGATGGGGAAGACCAAGGAAGGAATGCAAGTTAGAGATGAAGGTTGTCATTACAGTGACGAGGACACTAAAACCACTGAGAGAAGTATGGTTTAATATGATGTAGGTGTAGTGCCCTTGTGAGTCAGAGGAATGGGATCTGGAATTCCTTCCTAGCTTAGATTCACCAAATGAAATCAAACCCCATTAACAAATCTTCGTGTCTCCATTTCAGGTCAAAGGGAAAATGATAATGAACTCATTGAGCCTCTTTGCTGCTATTTCTGGAATAATTTTTTTGATCATGGACATATTTAATATTACCATTTCCCATTTTTTTAAAATGGATAATTTGAATCTTATTAAAGTTTCCACACCATATATTAACATACACAACTGTGAACCAGCTAACCCTGCTGAGAAAAACTCTCTGTCTATACAATATTGTGACAGCATACGATCTGTTTTCTTGGTAAGTGTGAAATCAGGTTTCTTTTCAGGGAAGAAGTTTAGTGTTTTTATTATGAGTGTCAACTCTGGATTAAGATATCTGCCATTTACTGCCTATACAGCTTTTGGGCAAGAATTTTAACCACATTCTGCCTCAGTTTCTTCAGCTGTAAAATTGAAATTAACAGTACTTATCTCATAGGGCTGTTTTGAGTGATTAAGTTAACATATGCAAAATGCTTAGAACTGGTACACAGAAAATGCTATGTGTTTGCTTTAAAAGTAATTATTATTATTATTAATCCTGGTTAATAATTATTAGTATGATTAAGATGGACACTGAAGAAGTACCTACGTTATTATGAACATCTTTTGCCTCAATGAGTTTTTTGGGTAGAGTTTGAAGGCGGAAAATGTATCTTCCAAGTATAGATAGGTTTCCTTCACTGTGATACCATACCACCTAAAGCTGGATACAACTTAATTTGGGATTCAGTGGTTAATTTTTCCTACATAGGATTGATTCTGCAACTAATTACTGTTGCCTTATTTTCTATCAGCAACATGCATTAACTATCTGTGGTGTGCCAGTTGTGCTAAGCATTAGGGTTTTAAAGATAATAGTAGTTCTTATAGTTGATCATTACCTAAAGAACTGAACTTCTAATCTAATTTTAGCCAACAGTCACTGACTGAGCAGCAACCATATTCTTTTTTTTTTAATTTTTTTTAAGATTTTATTTATTTATCTAATTGACAGAGAGAGAGAGAGAGAGAGACAGTGAGAGCAGGAACACAAGCAGGGGGAGTGGGAGAGGGAGAAGCAGGCTTCCCGGGGAGCAGGGAGCCCAATGCGGGGCTCGATCCCAGGACCCCGGGATCATGACCTGAGCCGAAGGCAGACGCTTAACCAACTGAGCCACCCAGGTGCCCCCTGAGCAGCAACCATATTCTTTGAGCTACTATTATATTTTTGCCCTTGTTTTTTCTGTCATTCTTCAGGGCATTTTTGCTGTGATGATGATCTTTACCTTCTTCCAGAAACTTGTGATGGCTGGCATTGTTGAGCATGAATGGAAACAACTGTGCTCCAAACCTAAATCTGTAAGTAGTAGCCACCCTGTCCACTAACCCCCTCTGGGAAATCATATCTACAAAAAAAATCATTTACGGCAAATGTAATCTAATATATCTTTGAGACTAAGAGCTTCATGAAAAATGGTCTTGGCAGATTTCTGGAAAGCAGAAAATACCTAATGAAGCAAAAGTGTCTTGAAATTTGAAATAAGCCTGAAGTTTAGACAGAGGATACAGCCCTCTGATATGTGCACTTACTGACCCTGAGTTCCTCTTCACTCCACATGCCCATCTCGATTTCATGATTCCACACTGAGCGTGTAAAAGTGGGGTGGCTGCAGGTTGAAGGCTGATAAAAGCACTGGTTCATCCACTTAATTTCTCACTATTCCCTCCCCCGCCCACCTGCACCTTTTCATCAAATCTCTCTTCCAAAACAATAGGTTCAGAGAGGCTCCACATTTGGGAGATAGGAATATCCCAGTGACAGATTGATTATCAACTGCTCCGAACTACAGAATGTTAGCTTAAAATTTAGAAATCATCACAGTTCCTTCATTTTACAGATGAGAAAAACAGGATTCGAGGGAAAACAACCTTCCCAAGGTTATATCCAATAAAGGCAAATCAAAACTAGAATCTAAATTCCTCAATCACTGCAGTGTTCTTTCCCAAATACTGTGTGATCATTCCAGGCAATGTGGCAAGTATCTGCTGACCTTGAAGATGAGCTTTGATAAGTGACTTGATCCCTTGGGAAATCAGTCCTGGTATTTGGAGGTATATAGGAAATAACATAAACAGCATAAAAACCAGGAGGTATTTGATAAATATTCATAGTTTGTTGACAAATGTGCCAATATAAAAGGTCAAGAAACGTTTGTTTAATTTTGTGTCCTAGGATGTAGTTGTCCTGTTAGCTGCTGAAGGAAAAAAAGAACAGCCAATTGAAACAACAGATGAAATGGTTGAGCTGACTGAAACATCTTCCCAACCAAAGAATGAAGAAGAGATTGAAATTATTCCAGTCCAAGAAGAAGAAGAAGAAATGGAAATAAATTTTCCAGAGCCTCCCCAGGATCAGGAACCTTCACCAATAGAAAATGACAGCATTCCTTAAATGATTTTTTTTTCTTTCTGTTTCTTTTTCTTAGGCATTAGAAACTAGTGTTCATAGCTTCCAAGAGACATATCCACCCCCATTTCCTGAGGCCTTCTGCAAGTATCCTCCATCTGTCTCTCTGGCCTTTGCACAGAGTGACCACAGCTCACTCACGCTCACTCTCTCTCTCTCATGCAGATAACACAGCCACTGCAGGCAAAACATGTCAGCATGTTTCCTGTCTGGGGCAGCTTACTTACATTACAAGGCAGACTAGGTGCTGCGCTGCATGATTTCTCACTAGCCTTTTCCTTAGATAAGACTTTGTAGTAGTGGTCAAAGTGGCAATTCCATCTCTGCCCCTAATGAGAAAGATAAACGTGGGCTCCAGGCCATCCTGAAACTATCTTTAATTCCTTCCACATCTACATATTTTGTGGAGTCTCTTTTGCACCACTGTCTTAAGGAAAGTAAAAAATCGTAATACTGAGGTGCAATAAGGAACTATTCCATCTTTCTATGGGGCTGACACTGTGGTACATTCTTAGAGCATCCACACCCCATCACGGAAGCTCTAAGTGGCCAATACCAACCCTTTCTTTGTACAAACAGCACAGCTTATAAATGGACATGTCTGTATCTGTCTTAACTTTTCTTAACTCCTGCTCTAGGCTCTTGGTTGCACTGTCTACCTACTTTTAGCCTTTAGGCAAGAGAAGAATCAAAGAAAATGCCATAATGAGTACCCAAATCTTAAATGATAATCAACAGTTGTATTTGTAATTTCCAGTTCACAAAGTAGTTTATCAAATAATTACATTTGATCTTCTATAATCAAGAAAAAAACCCATCCATATTTTACAAATGATTCAAAGAGGCTAAGTAATTTATAAATAAGTAAAGGTAATTTGTCAGTGGTCACAGCTAGTAATTTTGAGAGCCTTTTTTCAGACCCAGATCTTCTTACTCAAATCCTATAATGTCTGAAATAACCAAACTGCCTGCATAAACTACTTGAGCAAAGTCAACAGGTTTTAATAAGCACCTGCTCTCTGACCAGCATGAGACAGGTGTTGAGAGAAACACAAAAGAGTCAGGAATCAAGTTTTACTCCTTGGGGATAAAAAAACTTAAACATTCACAACATTTGGAAAACTACTTACATCATTAATATATACTTAGCTGTAGATTACATAATGCAGACACTAAGTGCTATGGACATTTTCAAAAAAGAAGATCATGCTTGAAAATAATATAATTAGTTATGATGCCAAATCTCAGGCAATAGCTACCTTACTTCTCAATTCCTGTTTATGTTAAGACATACTAGTACCCTACATAGAAAGAATGCTGATATAATCTATCAATTACATTTGAGCATTTTCCATATTTAAGTGCTGCCAGATTCTGGCAAGTATACAAAGAGATTTCTACTCCTTGTGATATTTCTACTTTTTTAGGGACCACCAATAGAAGATATTTTCTGTGATTAGAAAAAAAAAAGAGATGAGACATTTCTCTATGTAAAGTCCTCAAAATTAGCTTTAAATGAATAAAACTGTATTTGTGTTCCTGTCTGAAACCGATGATTCCAATATGGTGTTTGCCCAGTCTTCTGTGTTCTTGTGATGTCAACCCATGAGGGAAGCTCCCATAGCCTTAACTTCATATTCACATAAGCTCAGTCTGAGTTTGAACTCTGTGATGTCAGGACTTCAGCTATTTATGCCAGCGTATTCTTACACACAGATTCCCAAGGAAGATTTTCATGGAAAACTTAATAATTGAATAACAGATTTTTCCCACTTAGCACTCCAGAATGTGGCTAAAATATAAAACAGGCAATCTTGCCTTGAACTAGAGGAAAGGGACAAGAGCAGTGGCAGACCAGAGGAAAACAACTGATGAGAGGACCTTCAAAGAAGACAAGATCTCACCTCTACCTTATTTTCTCCACTTCTGAAATATATATTGAGGATCCCTCTCCGAATCCATTGTCTTTAATATATATTTTTAAGTATATTTTTTATTCAAGTATAATTAGCATACTGTATTATATTAGTTATTTTATTCATTTTTATGATCTCAAATAATTAGTTTTTACTGACCTCATGTAACTCCTTTATGAGACAGCACTAATGTGTATTGTTGAAGAAGAATGAAAGTAATTGCTATGATTTCTCCCCAATTATCCCTTTGGCAATTTGTTCCTAAAGGGGTGACTAACCACCCCAGTCAATCTGGGACTGAAGGACTTCCTGAAATGCAGAACTTTCAGTGCTAAAACCCAAATAAGTGAGAGGCAAACCAGGATGGTTGGTCACCCCAGTTCACAGTGATACATAATTGTACCTAGTTGCAATCACTACATAATCTGCTTTTCATACTTAACATTATATCATACATATTTTTCCTTATTGATATATAATTTTCATAAGTTATTTTTCATGGTAACTTAGTACTTCATTGCGTCAATATAGAATAATTCAATATTCCTCTATAGTTGGGTACTAAGGGCCTTTTTTTCCTTTGGAAATGTTTGGAGCTACATAAAACATGAGCAAGATACACATTTCCTCTTCTCATTATTCAAAATGTGGCTTTACACTTCAAGCATTGTCACAGTCTGTCAATAGGAAGTAATGAAATCAAGCCAGGAAATTAATTTTACACTTTGACAAGAGAATAGTCAAAGATTCAATACGTCGAAATGGTAGCTTCAGACTGATTTAGCATGAGTTCACTCATAGATCTGATATGTTTTAAATTCTTGGTGCAAAACCTAAAACATTGATGGGGAGGGCTGAAATTGGAAATTTTCCTAAGTCTAAAATTTTTTTTAAATTTTTATTTATTTAAGTAATCTCTACACCCAACGTGGGGCTCAAACTCACAACCCTGAGATCAAGAGTTGTGTGCTCTTCTGACCAGCACAGCCAGGCAGCCCAAGTCTACAGTTCTTTAATTCAAAACCTGGTTGTGTGTTCTGAACTAAAGAGGACCACGCAATATAAAATGAATATGGTAGGATCATATGGTGGCAAAATCAAAGCTAACTTAAGGTTTTCCTCTGGAGTCATGTTTGCCCTTTACTCACCTCTTCCCTTGGTGACTTACTGTAACTCTTACCTAGTATGTATTCTGCTGCAAGAAAGAACAAAAATCTTAAAGACAGACACAAACCAATCATTGGGAAATCATTCATTCATTCATCCAAAAATATCTGTTGATCTCAGCCTACTGGTGAGCAAAAATGAGCAGAGATCTCTCCTCTTAGAGCTTATTATCTGGTTAGAGAAAGAGACATTAGCAAAATATCCGCAGGGCACCTACTATGGGTAAGGCATACTGTTAAGTACAGAGGGGTATACCTAAAGATGAGAGAAGCCCCCAGCCCTCAAAAATTTTAGAGGTGATTTAGAGGTGATTTAAAAATGTACATATTAAAAGATAAGCAAACTCTCAACAAAGTTAGTACAGAAGATATATACCTCAACATAATAAAGGCCATATATGACAAACCCACAACCACAATCATACTCAAAAATGAAAGCTTTTCCTCTAGGATCAAGAATAAGGATGCCCAGCCTAACCACTTTTATTCAACATAGTATTGGAAGTCCTGGCCATAGAAATTAGGCAAGAAAAAGAAATAAAGTCACCCAAGCTGGAAAGAAAGAAGTAAAACTGTCACTATTTAAAGATGACATGATACTAGATATAGAAAACCCTAAAAACTCCACCAAAAACTATAGAGCTAATAAATGAAATAAGTAAAGTCACAGGATACAAACTTAACATACAGAAATCAGTTGCATTTCTATACACTAATAATGAGCTATCAGAAAGAGAAATTAAGAAAACAATCCCATTTACAATTGCATAAAAAAGAATAAAATACCTGGGAATAAATTTAACCAAGGAAATAAAAGACTTGTACTCTGAAAACTGTAAGACACTGATGAAAGAAATTGAAGTAACACAAATAAATGAAAAGATATGCTGTGCTCGTGAACTGGAAGAATATTGTTAAACGTCCATACCACCCAAAGTAATCTACAGATTCAATGCAATCCCCATCAAAATACCAAAAGCATTTTTCACAGAACTAGAACAGAGAATCCTAAAATTTGTATGGAACCACAGAAAAACCCGAAATAGCCAAAGCAATGTTCAGAAAGAAAAACAAAACTGGAGGTTATCACACTCCTTGATTTCAAACATTACTACAAAGCTATAGTAATCAAAACAGTATAATACTGGCACAAAAACAGACACATAACATCAATGGAATGAAATAGAAAGCCCAGAAATAAACCCACACTTTTAAATAGTCAATTAATCTATGATAAAAGGTGCAAGAATATACAATGGGGAAATGAGTTTCTTCAATAAATGGAATTGGGTAAACTGGACAGCTAACATGCAAAAGAATGAAACTGGACCACTATCTTACATCGTATACAAAAATAAATTCAAAATGGATTACAGACTTAAATGTAAGACCTGAAATCATAAAACTACTAGAAGAAAACATAGGCAGTAAGCTCTTTAACATCAATTTTAGCAATATTTTTTTGTACCAGTCTCCTCAGGCAAACAAAATAAAGGCTAAAATACACAGATGGGATTATATCAAACTAAAAAGCTTTTGCACAGCAAAGGAAACCAACAACAAAACAGAAAGGCAAACTACTGAATGGGAGAAGATATTTGCAAATCACATATCCAAAAAGAGGTTGATATCCAAAATATATAAAGAACTTACACAATTTCATGTTTTAAAAAACCCAATTAAAAGATGGGCAGAGGACCTGAATAGACATTTTTCGGAAGAAGACACACAGGTGAGCAACTGGCACACGAAAAAATGCTCAACATCACTAATTATCAGGGAAATGCAAATGGAAACTACAGGAGATATTGCTTCACACGGGTCAGATTGGCTATTATCAAAAAGACAAAAAAATAACAAGTGTTGGTGAGGATGGAGAAAAGGGAATCCTCATACACTGTTGGTGGGAATGTAAATTGGTACAGTAACTGTGAAAAACAGTATAGAGGTTCCTCAAAAACTAAAAATAGAACTACAGGGGCACCTAGGTGGCTCAGTCAGTTAAGCATCCACCTCTTGATCTCAGCTCAAGTTTTGATTCAGGGCTGTGAGTTCAAGCCCTACACTGGGCTCCAGGCTGGGCATGGGGCCTAGTTAAAATAAAATAAAATAAAAAATAGAACTACAATACAATCCAGCAATTCCACTTCTGAGTATCCAAAGAAAATAAAAACACCAATTCAAAGAGATATATGCAACTCTTATGTTCACTGAAGCATTATTTATAATAGCCAACATATGGAAGCAACCTAAGTATCCACTGATAGATGGAGAAAGATGTGAAGTGTGTGTGTGTGTGTGTGTGTGTGTGCGCGTGTGTGTGTGTGGTGGAACATTACTTAGCCATAAAAAATAATAAAATCTTGCCGTTTAAGATGACATGGATGGACATGGAGGGTATTATGCTACATGAAATAAGTCAGACAAAGAAAGACAAATACCAAATGGTTTCACTTACATGTGAAATCTAAAAGACAAAATGAATGAATAAACAAAACAGAAAGACTCACAGATATAGGAAATAAGCTGTTGGTTACCAGAGAGGGGAGGCGTTGGGGGAGGGAGGAGCAAAATCAGTGAAGAGGGTTAAGAGGTACAAGCTTTCAGGTATAAAATAAGTAAGTCATGGGGATGTAATGCATAGCACAGGAAATGGAATACAGTCAATAGTATTGTAATAACTTTATATGGTGACTAATGGTCACTAATTTGAGGTCATTTCAATATGCATAAAAATACTGAACCACTGGGGCGCCTGGGTGGCTCAGTCGTTAAGTGTCTGTCTTTGGCTCAGGTCATGATCCCAGGGTCCTGGGATCGAGTCCCATATCAGGCTCCCTGCCCAGCAGGAAGCCTGTTTCTCCCTCTCCCACTCCCCCTGCTTGTGTTCTTGCTCTTGCTATCTCTGTCTCTGTCAAATAAATAAACTCTTTAAAAAAAAAAAAACTGAACCATTAAACATACACCTGAAACTAATAGGATATTGTATGTCAATTTTACTTAAGTAAGAACATACAATAAAAATTTATTTTATGGGAAAAATAAAAGGAAACCAGTAGAGGTTCAGGAAAATTCAATGGCAAAAGAATAATCTTTTCAATAAATTGTGGTGGAAAAACTGATAGACACATGAAAATGAAATTGGACACTTACCTCACACTACACACAAAATTAGCTCAAAATGGAGCAGAGGCCTAAACGTAAGAGTTTAAACTAGAAAACTCTTAGAAGAAAACATAAGTGGAAACTTCACGACATTGGATTAGGCAATGGTTTCTTAGGAATGACATCAGAAGCACAGGCAAACAAAGAAAAAATAAATTGGACATCACAGAAATTAAAAACTTCTGTGCTTCAAACAGCACAATAAAGAAAGTGAAAATACAATCCACCAAAGGGGAGAAAATATTTGTAAATCATATATCTGAGAAGAGTCTAGTATCTAAAATGTATAAAGAAAGCTTATA